TGTCTGAGTCTGTGTCTGAGTCTGTGTCTGTGTCTGTGTCTGTGTCTGTGACTGTGACTGTGTCTGAGTCTGTGTCTGAGTCTGTGTCTGAGTCTGTGACTGTGTCTGTGTCTGTGTCTGAGTCTGTGTCTGTGACTGTGTCTGTGTCTGAGTCTGTGTCTGTGTCTGAGTCTGTGTCTGTGACTGTGTCTGTGTCTGTGTCTGTGTCTGTGTCTGAGTCTGTGTCTGAGTCTGAGTCTGAGTCTGTGTCTGAGTCTGTGACTGAGTCTGAGTCTGTGTCTGTGTCTGAGTCTGAGTCTGTGTCTGAGTCTGTGACTGAGTCTGAGTCTGTGTCTGAGTCTGTGTCTGAGTCTGTGTCTGAGTCTGTGTCTGAGACTGTGTCTGTGTCTGTGTCTGTGACTGTGTCTGAGTCTGTGTCTGTGTCTGAGTCTGTGTCTGTGTCTGAGTCTGTGTCTGAGACTGTGTCTGTGTCTGTGTCTGTGTCTGTGTCTGAGTCTGAGTCTGTGTCTGAGACTGTGTCTGTGTCTGAGTCTGTGTCTGTGTCTGTGTCTGTGTCTGTGTCTGTGTCTGTGTCTGTGTCTGTGTCTGAGTCTGAGTCTGTGTCTGTGTCTGAGTCTGTGTCTGGTCTGTCTGTGTCTGAGTCTGTGTCTGTGTCTGTGTCTGTGTCTGTGTCTGTGTCTGTGTCTGTGTCTGTGTCTGTGTCTGTGTCTGAGTCTGAGTCTGAGTCTGTGTCTGTGTCTGAGTCTGTGTCTGTGTCTGTGTCTGTGACTGTGTCTGAGTCTGAGTCTGTGTCTGAGACTGTGTCTGTGTCTGAGTCTGTGTCTGTGTCTGTGACTGTGTCTGTGTCTGTGTCTGAGACTGTGTCTGTGTCTGAGTCTGAGTCTGTGACTGTGACTGAGTCTGTGTCTGAGTCTGAGTCTGTGTCTGTGTCTGAGTCTGTGACTGTGTCTGTGACTTTGAGTTTGGGAACCAGGAAGGAGTTTGGGGAGTTTAAAGTCCGTCTGTGATCTGAAAACCAGTGAAGATTATTTTAATACTTTTCTTCATTTGTGGAGATGTGAAGAACTGTCCTGTAGTCTCACTGTAGACTTAGACCAGACTTAGACCAGACTTAGACCGGACTTAGACCAGACGTAGACCAGACTTAGACCAGACTTAGACCAGACGTAGACCAGACGTAGACCGGACTTAGACCAGACTTAGACCACACTTAGACCAGACGTAGACCAGACTTAGACCGGACTTAGACCAGACGTAGACCAGACTTAGACCAGACTTAGACCAGACATAGACCAGACGTAGACCAGACGTAGACCGGACTTAGACCAGACTTAGACCACACTTAGACCAGACGTAGACCAGACTTAGACCAGACTTAGACCAGACTTAGACCAGGACCTGACCGGGGCCAGGTCAGGCCCCGGTCAGGCCCAGTTCAGACCTAGGTCAGGCCCAGGTCAGGCCCAGTTTAGACCGTGTTCAGACCCAGTTCAGGCCCAGTTCAGACCCAGTTCAGACCCAGTTTAGACCCAGGTCAGGGCCAGGTCAGGCCCAGTTCAGACCCAGTTCAGACCCAGGTCAGACCCAGTGCAGACCCAGTTCAGACCGAGGTCAGGCCCAGTTCAAACCTCTTGTGTTGGTGACATCATGGTTTTGGGAGATTTCCATTAGATTAAAAGTGTCTGTGTCTGTGTCTGTGACCTGTGTCTGTGTCTGAGTCTGTGACCTGTGTCTGTGTCTGAGTCTGTGTCTGTGTCTGAGTCTGTGTCTGTGTCTGTGTCTGAGTCTGAGTCTGAGTCTGAGTCTGTGTCTGTGTCTGTGTCTGTGTCTGTGTCTGAGTCTGTGTGAGTCTGTGTCTGTGTCTGAGTCTGTGTCTGTGTCTGTGTCTGTGTCTGTGTCTGTGTCTGTGTCTGTGTCTGTGTCTGTGTCTGAGTCTGAGTCTGAGTCTGTGTCTGAGTCTGTGTCTGTGTCTGAGTCTGTGTCTGTGTCTGAGTCTGTCTGTCTGTGTCTGTGTCTGTGTCTGAGTCTGAGTCTGTGTCTGTGTCTGTGTCTGAGTCTGTGTCTGTGTCTGAGTCTGTGTCTGAGTCTGTGTCTGTGTCTGTGTCTGAGTCTGAGTCTGTGTCTGTGACTGTGTCTGAGTCTGTGTCTGTGTCTGTGTCTGAGTGGCAACAGGACACGTCATCGGCTACGTCAATATGACTGCTATCATACAGCAGCAGAGTGGTTTACAGGAGTCAGTATGACTGCTATCACACAGCAGCAGAGTGGTTGGTTATGGACAACCAAAAACCAAAACAAGATAAATTATTAGTTTTGAAGATAACACTATAGTAAAGACATGTAAAGAATGAATTTACACGAGTATCTCGATTCAATCGGGCACTGACTTCAGGAGTCTGTGACTGTGGCTGACTTCAGGAGTCTGTGACTGTGGCTGACTTCAGGAGTCTGTGTCTGTGGCTGACTTCAGGAGTCTGTGACTGTGGTTGACTTCAGGAGT